GGTAGGGCCCCCACCCGTGGGATGGCCCCTAGCCCACCCGATGCCACGTCAGCCCCCCCACCCGTGGGATGGCCCCTAGCCCACCCGATGCCACATCAGCCCCTACCAGCGGTTCTCAACCTGTGAGTCATAACAATGAAAATACATCCTGCATATCAGATATTTACATTACGATTCATAACAGTAGCAAAATTACAGTTATGAAGTAGCAACGAAAATAATTTTATGGTTGGGGGTCACCGCAACATGAGGAACTGTATTAAAGGGTCGCGGCATCAGGAAGGTTGAGAACCACTGCCGGGTCCAACAGGACCCCGCACCCCAGGTGCCAGGCAAACGTCTGTGGAATCCATGTCAGTCAGCCTACCAGCAGTGACAAGCTGGTGGCAGGACAGAGTGGCTGAGAAATAACTGAGGACAGACTAAGGGTGGCCCAGTTATCAACGGAAAAGTGTTACTTTAGCAGTTTTGCCAATTAAACCAAAGCAAGTCAGCTGAGTAAGGCCCCTACATCTGAGCTGTTTTTGGAGACACTTCATGATTCACACCCAAATCATACAAGATTAAAGAAAACACTGGATAAAATCAAGCCAAACATTAAGTTCAGAGGAAAGATCTTATTGGACAAATTAGAAAAATATTGGTAGTGTGCTTCAGAGAAACCCACTTCTTTCCTCCAGCTGCAGGGGCGAAAACAGCCTCAGTGGCAGAGGGAGAGAGAATATGAGTTGTTTTAAGTGAGTTTGCTCCACCCTCTCACACTGGCCACCACCCCACACTCACAGCCAATGTGCTAACCAGTGGCCTCGGCCAGAACTGAGGGGAACGTGCATCTATAATAAGGATTCTGTTATATGGCTGGGCTCTGGAGAAGGCGCGTCAGGTTGGAATGAGGCTTCCTTGCCTGAATCATCAGCTAGCCGAGGGAGCTGCTGGCCACTGGTTGTCCCCAGCCACACGTGAGGGTTCTGACCACGTGGATCACGCCTGGTGCAGACCCCGGGTTTCAAGGGGAAGCTCACAAATGACATTATCCCAATGACCAAAAGTGAGAAACAGTGAAAACAGTGGGTTTGGAGGATGCCTTCCTTCATTCACTTCCCGGGACCCTACTGTGTGCTGGTGGTGAGGGACAGAGAAGGGAAAACTTCCAGCTTGTGTTGTTCAGGTGAACAAAAAATCAGAGACGAACCAATGACTTGTATAGGCCAAAGCTGGGAGTAGTCCATCCTTGTCGCTTGACTCTTACCATCATTTCCTCTTACTGCAGCTTCTAGTGCTATACCTATTGCTACTTTAAAAACCACAGCAACCCACACTTTGGTTTCCTCACAAGATAGGGCTCAAATAGAACCTTATAGTATAGTTGTTGTCTGTCTTCTAGACAAGAGTTGGCCAAGAAAACTGAGAGAGAGAGAGTGTGTGTGTGTGTGTGTGTGTGTGTGTGTGTGTATGCCTGTGTGAGAGAGAGACAGGAAAGACAGAGAGAAACTGAGAGGGGATTGACAGACAGACAGGCACAGACAGGCTTACCTGAGGTTTCCCAGAGTTGAAGGCAGATGGAAATAAGGATTGAATCACTGCATGATTTCAGGACTCTGTATCTGTCTGGGTGAGTGTATTTGTGTCCATAATCCCTAACCAATCTATAATAATAAAAGTGCAATATGCAAATTGCGAATGACCAAACAGCAGAACGACCGTCCAGACAATCGTCCGGATGACCACTCTATGACATGCACTGGCGCCAGGCCAGCCAAGGTGGATGGGATGCTATTGGTCGGGGGGCGATTGCCCCAAAGAGGGAGGCCCAGGCTACCCAGCCGGCAGTGCTGCAACAGGTGGGAAATATCTCCCTCTGCAGGGTGATCGATAGCAGGGCTCCCAGACTGTGAGAGGGCGCAGGCTGGACTGAGGGACACCTCTCTCCAGTGCACAAATTTTGTGCACCAGCCCTCTAGCCTCCATGATCGATTGCCCCAAAGAGGGAGGCCCAGGCTACTCAGCCAGCAGCGCTGCAACAGGTGGGGAATATCTCCCTCTGCAGGGTGATCGATAGCAGGGCTTCCAGACTGTGAGAGGGCGCAGGCTGGACTGAGGGACACCTCTCTCCAGTGCACACATTTTGTGCACCAGCCCTCTAGTGTTTACCATAATAATCTGAACCAAATGAATAATCAAAAAGTGTTCTTTAGATCCCCCTTAAGCATCCACCACCACCATGTCCACCCAAACTATTTTATAGCACCTGAGCTCAGATCCATAGAGCCAAACACACACACACAGGTGCCAGGTTAACCACCCCTGTCCCTGCCATGTCCTGGGCCTGCTTTGTCACACAGAGCTCTTGGCTGGCATTATCTCATTTACTTTGACAACCAAGCTGAGATACATCACTATGGTCATGGCAGGAATGTAAGAGAAACAGATGCTTAGAGAGGTGTGTGACTTGCCCAAGGTCGCACAGCTGGGATGTGGCAGGACTAGGAGTCAAGGGCAATGTCTGTGTTGCTGAAGTTCCTTCCACTTCCCTGCTCTCTCTTTTCCTGAAGGAAAATGCAAACCTTGAGGCACAGTCAATGTCCATATATGGACCCCATTCAGATGGGCGCGCTCATGGAATCCTCTAAACCTCCTCTAAAGAGCTCATGGCCTTGGGTCAGAGACAGAGAAGCTGCCTGGCCATTCCTTAGGTCCTTATCACAGGTCAAATGCAATATGGTTCATCGGGTTTATATGATCACAAGTGAGATTGGGCATCTGGGTGGGCCACCCCATTGATGGAAACTTGACCCTGGTTACCACTTTTGGTGAAACCATTCAGTACACTGTTTCAACAGTGAGGAGAGCAGAAATGGTCTGTATTTGCACTGTTAGGATGAGATTGGCGCTGGCTGGTTGGCCTGATTTCTGAGAGCCCTTCCACAGCTCTCAAAAGAGCATCACTGGACTGTTTGCAAACAGACCTTTGCTGCACGACCAGAGGATGTAAACGAGCAGAAAGACCTGTGGCTGACTGTGCAGATGGGAGCTGCTCATCCCTGTTGCTGCAGAGAGAGCGAAAGTGCCTTGGTGACTTCTGACATCTGGTTCCATTCCGTCCCTTCTTTAAAAGCTGATAAATAGGAAGCTAATTCACTCACTGGCAGAAGATCCAGGTTTGATTGTTTCATTTACTCGGTTCCACTCCCACTTGGAATAAATAAGCACTAGGAGCCAGACTGAGCCGCACCAAACACACAACTCGTCCCGCTCCCCACAGACAATCCCAACTGGGCGGCTCGGAAATGGGCAACGTGCTAAGCTTTTAGACCTAAATGTTTCCAGACTTAAATATCCTTAGAAAGTTAGTATCTTTTTCAATCAAACTTTTCAATAATTCGGAGTTACATTTGGAACTAGCTAACCAGTTAGCCCAATCTTTTTCTGATAAAAACATTGTGGAAATCAACTGTTACCGTAATTCCCGTCTTAACGCGTGCATATTGGATCCACATGATGTGGCCGTGACTCCGTTAATACCGGGGCGATTAGAGCAAAGCCGGATGATGATGGAGGTCAAACATGAACTTTTCTAAACAATGAGTCAAGCGAGGAGCAGACTGGTCCCCACAAGGCTTCACCAACAAACATTTGCGTAGCAGGCATTGCCGCTCTTTGCTGATTTTGATGAAAGAGAATGAGAAGTCTGGGGAGAATGAGAGGTCTGGGTACATGTGAATATGTGGGTGTGTACACGTGGATTGCTATAGGAAACAACCTACACTTTCTTAACTTCCAAAAGCAGCATTTACTGTATTACTCTTTATACCTTTATAACATCTGTAAAATGGACTAAACACACAAACCAAAAGGGCTGCCTGTTTCCAACACATTCTAACTAGTGCAGAGATGGCAAAGACATGGCCCCCTCGCTATCGTTGCCCTCCATGCCCACAGGAGATGCTGCCAGGGGACCAGGGCCTCCTAGCCGGCAGTCTGGCTGCCCTTCAGAATCCTCCTCAACACGGGGCTCCAGGCAGCCTCCCCCAGGGAGCGAGGAGGACAGTGAACCCATGATCTGTCCTGGATGTGGCCTAACCCCATTCATTGCAGAGAAAGTGAAAATGTTGCTGAAAGAAAATGGTCTACAGGTCGGGTCACCGACAATGCTACCAGATATGGCCTCGGCAGGAAATGGTGAAAATCTCAACTGTTTTATGGAAACGAAAAAGGTGTTGTTGAATCCCTTCAACACAGGAGGCACTGGGCTTAGGCAATGTAATTTGGGGGCAAGTCCTATGGTAATGAATTTCCAGGGATGCCGGGTCTAGTTTGTTGTATCAAATGAAACTTGCAACAAGTCAGTCTCGGGTTGGAGAGTCAGACCATTTGTTGTATAAAGGTACCCATTATGATGTGTTTCAAACAGTTCAGAGTTTAAAAAATCTCCATATATTCACAGCAGTGAAATCAATAAAGAAATGCACATAGATGTGTATGGATCCTATATAATAAAAGGCTAATATGCAAATGAAACAAACCACGGAACAACCGGTCACTATGATGCGTGCTGACCACCAGGGGACAGAGGCTCAGAGCAGGAGCTGCCCCCTGATGGTCAGTACACTCTCACAGGGGGAGTGCTGCTCAGCCAGAAGCTGGGCTCACTGCTGGCGAGCACAGCGGAGGTGGCGGGAGCCTCTCCCACCTCTGCTGCAGGCAGGTGGTAAGGAACGAGGGATCCTGGACTGCAAGAGGGTGCAGGCTGGGCTGAGGGACTCCCCCACCCCCAGTGCATGATTTTTGTGCACTGGGCCTCTAGTTTATATATACCAGCATGAGAGTAACTGTATCTACCCAAAATTATTTATTTACTAACTGTGAAAACCACCTTTAGGAGATAATATTATCAATTGAGCTTTTAATGTGAACACTGCTGCCAAGTGTCATCCCGGTAGCACTGAAGAAAACCTTTTAAATCATAAAAGGAGAAACACAGAAAGAAGCCTTTCTCTTACCAGTGGTCTGAGTTCTGGATGCGTCAGGATATATCCATTATTTGTGATTGCAAAGGCATAACCGTGAATCCCTAACTGTAAAAGGAAGCGAGAGAGAGAAACCTTCATTAGCTTGCTCCCCCGTGCATTCACAAAGCATAAAGCAGCCCGGCGTTTAGTAATTTACAGCTTAAACTTGGCATTCATAACCCTTATCAGCACAATATTTCATTAAAATGAACGCGAGGCGCTGATCCTTGACATTTGGTGGAAATGAAGACCTGTCACAGGAGAAGCTCAGCAAATAGCACAATTTAAAATGTCACATCCCCACGTTGGCATCAAAGGCTTTACTTTGATTTATTTAAAACAAAAACAATTACATTTTTTTTAAAAAAGTGGCTAATGTTGGTGGAAAGACCTTTTGTCCAAGTGCACGGAATTTTATCACCCCGGGTGTCTTCTCTCTTCTGTGATAAGGAAAGAGGTGACCTCATTCTGATGCACATGTAGGCTGCCTGCAATTCCACACCCACAGGGGCCACCTCAAGCACGCACTCTCCTAGGCAGTCATTTTTTATAATTCTTCAAGGATAAAAGTGTCCCCCCACCCCCAGCCTGCAGAGGAGCCTGCCAACCCCTTTTACATCCCTTTGTCTTTAAATTGTGAGGCTGCCAAGCTTTTCCATGCATGCTTCCATCGACACAAAGCCTGGGTAATTTTCTATGCAGAGCCTCACTTAATTTATGTTTTCTGACTAAATGGGACTATGGGAAATAGTTTGAGAGCAATGAAATGTTTTATTAGCTTTAAAAAGTATGTAATCAAATTTAACACTGCACTTATTTAAATAATAATCCTGGCTTTTTGACAATATTTCTATTACACAGTTGACTGCACCCATTGGCTACAATAAATTTACCTACAAATCATTCATGTATTAAAATGGCCTCTGGCATAAAACCCATACTGATCTCTCTCTCTCTCTCTCTCTCTCTCTCTCTCTCTCCTCTCCCTCTCCCTCTCCCTCTCTCTCTTTCTCTCTCTGAAAAAAAATGAAATGTAACCCACTTTTCCCAGAGCAGTAAAAGGGAAGAAGAAAAAAATCCTACATTTTTTTCCGACAAGTTATTTCATAGTTCTGAGCTCTCACTATTACTTTTCTTTAAAATCCTCTGCTGATCACGTTCTTGAATATGACACTATTAAACGATCCAGACAACAGAGTTTACAAACCAAGAATGACCCAGTCTGCTTCTTAGCTTATTGTCAAGGTGATGTGAAATTGACTTCAGAGAATTTAACACTGGCAATTAAAAGTTTCCTTTGCATTAATTACATAAAGCAAATATGCATGTGGTAGTCAAGGGCAACAGGCATTTTCTCCTGGAGTTACCTTGCACAGCAAGTTTTAATTAGATTCTACTTGAGTCTAATGATAAAAGTATATTTCATTATGCTGAGAAAGATAAACCAGAGATTTCCTATCCTTTGAGATGTATATTGTCTCTTTCATCTTGTCTCTTGGAAAAATGTCAGATACAGTCAACACTGCATTAATTACCATTATTATATCCCAGTTTAATACGGACCAGAGGGGTCAAAAAGGACTAGGGGAGTCTAACTTTACCCATTAAAAGCAGAAGTGGTATTTCGTTGGAAATTCGAACTCCAAATTAGCCCCCCAAAATGATATTTTATAGTCAGCTAATATAGTCAGTGCCTTCTAATGTACATTCCTTCAGGAACTAATACTGAAAAGAGGATAGAACTCCTTGCATATGCTCCATTAATACCCTCTACTTCTCCTGTATTGCACTTATCAAAATTATAATAATCAATTATTTGTGAGTTTGATTATACCTTATCAAGGCATCAGTCAGGGGCTTTGATGATTTAATACAGGGGTCCTCAAACTTTTTAAACAGGGGGCCAGTTCACTGTCCCTCAGACCGTTGGAGGGCTGGACTATAGTTTTAAAAAAAAACTATGAACAAATTCCTATGCACACTGCACATATCTTATTTTGAAGTAAAAAAACAAAACGGGAACAAATACAATATTTGTATTTGCATGTGGCCCGCGGGCCGTAGTTTGAGGACCCCTGATTTAATACCTATCTCCCTACAGGTTCCATGATGGCCAAGGTCATGCCATGTGGGTCAAAATACGTGGAGGGGTGGTTGGGACGGAGGGAAGGGGAGCACGGACACCAGGAAGAGTAAAAGGAGGAAGTGGGGGGGACAATAAAACACATTGAATTGAGTGCAGATCCTACAAAGCTACCCGAAACTCTCTGCTCTCTCCCCTGGAATGAGGGGCTGAGCTGACCTCCCCACCCAACATACTACACTCCCTGTGTAATGGCCACCTCTTCTTCCTTGTTGCCCATTTATGCCCTGGCCGACTAGAATCTGCCTCACCCACCAAGATGCCACCAGAACTCCTTTCCCCACAGTTGCCAATGGCGTCCTAATGACTAAACCTAGAGACAGCTCCCTCTCGAATCTTTCTGGTTGTGTTAGCCGACTGCCCCCTCTTCCTTCACTCTATTCCCTCAGCTCCCAGGGCCCACGCTCCCAGGTTTCCTCCTTCTCATCCTCCACCCACCGCTCAAGCACTCATTTTCCCTAGTTTCTCTCCCAGCTGCGGCCCCTCCCCTCAGTGGCAGATCCACGTACCCAACTGTGTGTCGGTCATTTCTACCTGGATATCCCTCAGGCACTGCATAGACACCACACCCAGAGCATTGCAGCCCTCTCCCCCTTCCTGTGGCTCTTCCTGCCCTTCTCTCTCCAACAGTGGCACCACCACCCACCCCGATGCCCACATTAGAAATTAGAGCATCATCCTTAGGTTTGTTTCTCTCTTGCATCCCCAACTTCTTGATCCAAGTAATCACTAATTTTTATACCAGAAATTACTCACATTCAACTCTGCTTCCCCACGCTTCCACCCATGTAGATTTAATGTAATAGATTTCCAACTTGTCCTAACGGCTCTCCTGCCTCAAAGCTTGGCCCCAACCAAGTCCCCTCAAGATTGATCAAAGGTAACTCTGGCCCTGTTGATCCCCTTTGTAAAACCCACTAAAGACCTCTCTTTGTGTAAGATGAAACCCATGGGAGTGTCCATCGGGTCTCCCTGGGGTTTGGTCCCTACCTACCCACCCAGCCCAGCCTCCTTCCACTCATTGCCTCTCAGGGCACATGGCAGTGACAACAACCCCCTGTGGTTTTCTCTCCTTCCCAGACCTTTACTCACACAGTGCTAGTGGCCTGGAGCACTGCTCTGCCCCATGTCCCCCAGCTAATTCTCATCCACACTGTAAGCTCAGCCTCAGGATCATCATGGCCTATTAAAAGTCTCTCCTTCCCAGCCGGTATAGCTCAGTGGTTGAGCGTCAACCCATGGACCACGATTCCCGATCAGGGCACATGCCCGGGTTGCGGGCTTGATCCCCAGTGGGGGGTATACAGGAGGCAACCAATAGATTCTTTCTCATCATTGATGTTTCTATCTCTCTTCCTCTCTGAAGTCAACGATAAATAAATAATAATAAAATAAAAGTCTCTCCTGACCTCCCCCATTGTTTCCTCCTTTCCATACCATGTTTCCATAAAACCCTGAGAATTTCTCCATTGCTACCTTCACCCTTATGCATGAAACTACACCCTAATGCCCTCTACTTTTCCTGTATTTCACTTATCAAAATGACAATAATCAATTATTTGTGAGTTTGATTATATATTACCAAAGCATCAGTCAAGGGCTTTGATGATTTAATACCTGTCTCTCAATGCTAGCAAGTTCCCTTTCCTTCCTCTGCCCTGTTTCAGATAAGACAGCACCTCCCCATAAGAATGGGCTCTTGGTGAGGAAGGAGCCATCCCACTCATCTTTGACTTCTGCAACCCCTGGCATTATGTCCTGCAGGTAGCAGGTACTCCAGTTAAGGTCTGTATCTACTTGAGATGTTCTTCACTTTTTACCCAAATATTATCTAATGCATCTTTAAAGTCTAAATGAACACTAATGTTAGAAATGAGCTGAAAAGGCGAGGCTGACTTGTGACGGCAGGTGTACACTCTATCCTTCTCAAGGCTGTTCCTGAGGTCTTCCTGACATTCAGAAACGATCTGGTGAAAATCCTTCCCAGGAGAACAGCCTGGGAAAATAACATCAGAACGCTTTGCTGGTTGGTGGATGACGCATGGCTATAATCTACTGTAGATGTACGAAGAGAAACTCGGAGCCAGTCTCCAAAGACATTCTGTGGGTGAATCTCTCAGAAAACTGAAAGCTTATAATGTCACAATGTCCAACATTCGTTTTTGGCCACAAATCAATATGCTGATGAAAAATCTAATTTTTATTTCATCTGAAATAGAACCAGTGTTCCTGTGCAGTCCCTCGGAGTAACAGAACCCAGATAGGACACACGGGCTCCAGCACTTGGGGCTGCTCAGGGGGCCTCAGTCCTGAAGCCGCCCTCCTGGAGACCAGGGGCCTTGGTCCACAGCCGGGAAGGAGGTGCCTCCCTCCACGTGCAGGGCTTTGGCCTAATGAAGTGAACCCAATTATAAAATGGCTCGTTACCTTAACAGAGGCTGTGGTGTCTGGAAATTTTTGCCGGGGGGTCTGGAATTCTTAATAAAAATTATAGGAAGTCTGATTGCCTTGTGGGAAAATCTATGCAGCGAAGGGAAAAGAAAGAATTCTATCTTCAGGGAAAACCCCACAAGCCAAGTGCTGACTCATCTTTACAAGGTGTCGATCAGAACGGAAGGTGTGATCCGCACTCTGCTCCCCGGAGAGGCCTGTTCCGCCCTGGCTGGGCCTGGCTGACACACACACTGTCTCCCAAGGTGTTTTGTGGGAACCAGAGGAGGAATGACTTAGGTGTAAGTATGTCCTACCTGTGTCTCCGATTCCCAGCCTATCCCTTGGGAAAGCAAAAAACAGAAGTGCCCGTATGTCAGGCACCACTGGTTAATTCCTGGAGCTGACCTTCCTCTATTCTCCTGCTACACTTTGTTTCATTCATCATTTACTAGATGAGTTATGCTGAGAAAGTTATTTCAAGTTTCCTCAACTAAAAATGGGGCCAAGGTGCACCCACTCCATGGGAGCCTAATGAGGATTCAGTGGGAATCGTGCATGTAAAGAATTTTTACCATGCCACACAGTAGCAAGTTCAATAAACCTTTCATTGTTTTATTTTATTTTAGCCATTATTGTTAATATTATTAACTATTATTTGAACTATGATTATTATTATTGTCATTTATTGTTCTTAATGGCTTTAGGGTACTAAATAGTGGGAAAACCATGGCTTACTAGCCCTGAAACTTGGCGAGATATTTCCATTTTCTGTGCCTCAGTTTCTTGAGCTGTAACATGAGGGTAACAGCAGTGTCTGCCTCTTATTAAGTGAGAACATGTGATAAAGAGGGTAGCACCTTCCCCGGTAGAGGAAGCCTTGAGAAATAAACTCACAGGGTCATTGTTATCAGTTTCATATTATGTTCATAGTTTCTTGATTTGTTGGGCATGTATCAAGTCGTGGCCCTGAACTTGGGTTTCTACATCTTCTCATATGAGATAAGAGGCTTGAGAATTGCTTGGAAACATTCTCTCAGGGTGGGATGCCCTTCCTTAAACAGTGAGCCAGAGATTCTGGGCGTCTTTAAGGAACTCAAATCTCTCCTTCATCCTTTAGCTTTCAGTCTCTGGGGAGCTCCACCGTTTCCAAGACTTGTTGATGTGGGTTTGTATCACTCAGATCCCCTAACCCCAACTGTAAGAGCTTTGATGGGGATGAGGCTGGTTGTCAGGACCCCCGGGGAAGTAAGAAGGCCTCTGTCATCTCAGTCAGCCCAAGCAGGAGAGTTCTTTGGTTAAGCAGATCCCCTAACCCCAACTGTAAGAGCTTTGATGGGGGGTGAGGCTGGTTGTCAGGACCCCCGGGGCAGTAAAAAGAAGGCCTCTGTCATCTCAGTAAGCCCAAGCAGGAGAGTTCTTTGGCCAAAGAGGCCACGTTTTGTGAGCCCGGACACCCGACTCTAGCTTAGAGTTCATTTCCTCTTTCCTGTGCAGGTGGCTCTCTAATTTGATCACTGAAATGGCATCAACATATGGGAATAGAGCTGCCTTGTTTGTTCAAAGGAGCTTCCCTTTCTTGGGGTGGAGTGGGTGCTAAGGGCCCACCAGGAAGTGCTGGGAGAGCCAAAGCCTCTAGGGACTCTGGGAAGCCCTGGCTTATAGGAGGGGTGCAGCATGGGCTTCTGGATGGTGATGATGGCACCAATGCCCAGAGCTGAGGGGAGCCCCAGGGGCAGGGGTGCCCACACTCCAGGATGAACAACCCCCATGGACCTCAATTCTCAGCCCTCCATCATGTTCCAATGGACTGTTTTGCTTTCTTAGGAAAAACAGAATGTAAGCAAGATAATTTAGGGGGCATATGGGCCCAGGATTAAACTTACTAGCCAGAACCACCTAGTGAGTGTGAGCCCTTTTCCAATTCCTCCCTTCCAATGATATAAAACAAGTTTCATTTAGTGCTGCTTTAGCACTTGCCTTGACTACTACTTGAAAAGACCAGACCTCAAGTTCAGAACCTTGGGTTACCAAGCAATCACTTCATACTATCATTTTGTTTTCATGATTTTTTTTTTTACAATTGTCCTCTATAACTGGCTTTACTTTTTAAAGGGAGTTCCCTATTAAAATTGAGTTAAGTGAAGAAAGTTCTGAGTTGATTTACAAGTGACGGTTAAGTCAAGAATGGTACAGATGGTCTATGAGCATGGCATCACATTGCAAAGTGGTATGTGAATGCCTGAGATCTCCTCTCAGCACCGCGGTCAGAGGTCACACAGACCTGCCTGAGATCACGCCCACCACTTCCTGGCCCTGCACTCTGTGAACATTCCCCCTGTGAACCTGCGTCTCCCATGAGTAGAATGGATCTAGGAGCACAGCCCTTACCTGAAGAGGATTTGCTAAGGTGATGTGGGGAATGCACTTTGCACAGCATCAAGTTCTCGGCCACTGTTACCTGCTAATATTCTACCAGGAGGCACCCTGTCTCATACCACAAAATAATGATTTTTTAACAGCCATTTTCTGCACTTCTCATTTTATATCCAATGCTCTGAAATGTGACCCGATCATTCTGGCTGCATCCATCCATGCAGGTGACTTGTTTGGACAAGAGTTTGCTGTGATGCCTAGTGACTGGCTGATCCATTCTCTTGCTCTTACCCCAACCTTCTGTCAAAAGGTGGGGCTGTGCTTGTCATCAAACTTAAGAATCCTGCCTGACACACATGACCTTGGATCATAAGCCTTTCCCAGGCCTTTCAAAATTCTTATAAAAACTCATTTTTTAAAAAAAATATAGCTCTTGACCGGAATCGAACCTGGGACCCTTGAGTCCGCAGGCCGACGCTCTATCCACTGAGCCAAACTAGTTAGGGCTAAAAACTCATTTTTAAAGGTGGCCCAGGATCCCAGATAGTGGTTGGGCTTTCTCTAGGGCATTCTAAGTTAGCAAAGGTTCAGTGGACACGAAGCCCACAGGTGCCTGAATCTGGGGTGGGAAAGCCATGAGCAGCTCCATGCAGGCAGCATCCCATGTGGAGAGGGCTGTGGGTACCAGGAGGCTGCCTGTCACAGCGGTCCCCATGACCAGTGTGCCATAATTGTTTTCGATTAATGACAGTGGTCAATGCTTCACGCAAGTCTATGAGCAGGTCCTATTGTTATCACATTGGACAGAGAGGAGTTGGAGACCTGTCCACTCGCAGCTCCTCAGCAGTGGAGGCAGGGCCCTGTGTGTGGCTACTCCAGAGCTCTAAGCTGAGCACAGCGAAGGCCCAGGGGCCCCTCACAACTGTGATGAATCAGGCTCAGCAGGAAAGAGGTAGTAAGGAAGGGGGCCCTGCCGGCCAGCCAACTAGTCAACATTCCTGGCTAAAAAAGCTTGCTGTCCACACAGGGGGAAAGGGAGCCCCCCCCCCTGTCAGTCTATGAGAGGACCCGAAATGAAGACGGGGAGCCAGTCTGCTGGGTGCTGGGGAAGAGGAGGCAGGTATGGTCTCAACCCTGTGTAGTCAGGGAACCATGTCTGCTCAGTGAACACCCTTCTTAGGACCAGGAGCAGGGTCCTGTCTGCCCCGTCCCACCCTCCACGCTCACATGTAGTTCTGAATGGCTGTGATGGGGCTGAGGACCTTGCCTCTTCCCACCCTTTGCCTTACTTTTCTGAGGAGCCCCCACTAGGCACCAGGTGAGAGTTTTCTGTGTGGGGTTCAAGGATCTGGGCCATTTGTTTAAAGGTGAGCCCATCCATGTCACTCCCCTGGCTAACCTGTGTTTCAGAGACTAGAATGAGCACATCACCACTTGTGCTTCACATGTGATTGCCAGGCGGAGGTTAGAGGAGATAAGTAAGAGAAACAGAGAGTCTGTTTACATTTAAAAGGACCTGCCCAGTGGCTATGTGGACAGCATGAAGACAGGCAGAGTGTATGGTGATGAGTGCAGGGATGCAGTCTGGACAGCATTGCTCTAAAGGAAGGAAAATGTCAATTCCGACGGGGGGCAGAGGTGGGGGGGGGCTCCTGGTGTGGCCATTGCTCTGATTTCATTAACGTATTTATTTGACCACAGCAGCATACCTCACACAGCCAGAGAACATAAATACCAATTAAAGTTATCCCCATGGACCCCAGATAACTATTGGCATCACATCACCTCCACAGGAACTGGTTGCCCTCTGTAGCCAGCCCTGGAGGCAGTGCAGTTCGTCAGCTACAGGTGGGTTCCTGTGTTGGGCCTACCTGCCCCAGACAAAGCAGACACCAATCCAAAGACCACTGGGGATTCATGTGGAAGTCAGGATGCTTGTTCCCATGGGAACTGGAGTAGGTCTGGCTGAGGGTGGCACTGGGACTCATGAGAGCCCCTCGGTCCCCAAATGTAGTGGTGGGAACAGGACACTGGGCATGCAGTATGGTCAGGTAAGGGGAAAGCATGACTCCTCTCCCTGATGCAGGCTGGCCTCACATACAAAGCTAGGTTCCAGCCTTTCTTCCTCTCAGAGTCCCTTCCATACAGTGCTCCTTCTTCATGGCCCCTGCCTTTCAATGCCCCTCATGTTGTTCTAAACTCCCAATGCAGTGGGCTACCAAGGCCTGTCCTATCTTTGTTTCAAAATTACCTATTTCACCCCCTCAATTACGTCCAAAGTTAAAGAAAGCCTTACAATTATTTGGGGCACGTATTTTAATTTAGCATTAGGAAAGGAATATTAATGAATATACCCCATTGCCTTCTGAGACAGAGGAAATACTCTTTCAATATGGTCAGTGACTATTTTTCCCTGTGCCTCACTGGGTTTCTATTAAGAAGTAACAGATCTTAGAGGATCCTCAGACTGGGTGAGTCAGGACTGGCTTAGGAGATGCCCAGAGAAGTTAGACCTATGGAGACCTGCATAGACTTGTGTAGATTTCTATAGGCCCACACAAGTCTGGGTGGGCATGCATAGACCTCCTCAGATCTTCCTCCGCAAAGCAGAGCCCTCCAGAAAGAGAAAAGAAGGGCCTCTTTACTTTGTGCTTTAATAGTTACTATGTGAAACTGTTTTGAACATTTGGCCCTTGACTCTTAAATAAGTGATGTGTTACCTTGTATTTGGGGATGGTCTTCAGCAGTTCTTTCACTGGGACATCTGTGCCAACCACGCCTAGAAGAATGCCCTTCGATCTCTGTTGAGAAAACATTAAACAATAACAACAGTAAGTTAATTTGGCAGAAGAACTGGAACCTTCTGAGAAGTCACATGCCATAGGTCACTGTCAGGTGCCTTCTCCAAAATGACAGAGATTGAGGATTAACCCAGGTGTCCAAGAGGAACCCTCTTCTATTCCCCATCCCCCACCCCAAAATGTTACTAGATAAGCCTGGTAGCTTCTCAGGCCAAACATTAACAGCTATAACTCTCAACACACACTCATACCAAGACAACCTCCTTCTCTTCTCTCTCCTAAAAATGAAGAATTGATGTGCAGAAGCACTAAAGTTTCAGCAGCTAAGGCCTGTGATCATTAATCAGTTTCTCTTATGGAAGCTTTCTACAGGAAAGACTTATAGTGTGTTAACTGCTTTCTCAATTTACACTACCATCTGGTGCCCAGGAGAGAGAGACTCAATAGCCAGAGAAAGAAGAAATAACCCAAAGATTTTTAAGCAGCCAGTTGAAATCAAGAACTAAAGTGAAGGAAGAGGCCTTTGGGGTCCCAGTTTCCAAGGTCACTGTGATGTGCTAAACTTTACATGTCAGAAATGCCTTCCGGAAGAAGATACAAATGGCTACTGGCCATTGTTTTCCTTAAGTCCAAGTCCACATAGAACCTCACACTGTGACCACATTTGGAAACAGGGTCTTAGCAGGTATAATCAGTTAAGGATCTCGGGTGAAATCATCCTGGATTTAGGATGGGCCCTATATCCAATGACCGGTGTCTAAGAAGAGGAAAGGACATGAGAGAAGAAGGCCATGTGAAGACTGAGGCAGAGGTTGGACTTGTGCTGCTGCAAAGCAAGGAAAGTCTGAGCCCAAGGAAGGATCCTTCTCTAGAGCCTTCAGAAAAAGCATGACACCTTGATTTTGGACTTCCAGCCTCCTAAATTGTAAGAATAAACTTCTTTGCTTTGAGCCACCCAATTGGTGGGACTTTGTTATCTCAGGCCTAGGAAGCTAATACAAGTTTGGCAACTTCAAATTGGAGACGAGCCATCCACCATAATCAGGGAGTCTCTCTGGGGTTTTCCTTCCTCTGGTCATTTAACACTTAAACGTTGTAAAAGTGCTGCACCCTGTAACATGGAGCCTGCTTGAATTCCTCCCATCTCTGCTTGATTTCATGATTCTAACAGCAGGATTAAATGTGAGGGAAAATGATAAACCCTCTGTCCTTAAAATAAATCAATAAATGAAGACCACCAGAGCTGGAGCCGGAGAGGTCTCAGAAACCAACCCTCCTGGCGTCAAGCAGCTGTACTCACGGTTTCATTCTGCTTACTAAACACGGGCATGGCGACTGTGGTCATCAGGACAAGGCCCTGATCGTCGGCAAGCTGGATGGAGAGAGAAAAGCCAGTTACCTGAGACTGACCTGGAGGCTCAGGGCCGGAGCCATCTCCATGGCTAACCCTCCTTCATGGGCCAGGGGCGGCTGGGAGTGGACCTGCACCCACTCCAGCCCTCAGCCCAGGAGGAAGTGCAGAGCCAGGATTTGGATGGGGATCTGGGCCTCCGGCTGGGGAAACAAAGTCAGTCTTTCCAGTTGATCAGTTCACTGCATTAGGCCATTTGGGTTCAAATAAAGCCTTGTTGAGTCTTAGTGATTCATTTTATTGTATTAACACAGATTGATTTTACAATTTTACTTGGTAGACATTTATGTTCAATATGTGCAATGTTAATGCTTCTCTGTATTCTGGAAATTGAGGATCAGAAAGCATGAAGGTAAGGGGTTCTATACTTGGCCCTGTTGAAAAAAGTGGAATCTGGAAGCATTTACTCTCCCCAACGTAGTTGAATCAAGACCTTTTTGGACTTCTACAGATCTTTGCATGCCAGTCCCAGTTGAAAAGCACACAAATCAAAAACAAAAACAGAGCCCTAGCTGGTTTGCCTCGGTGAATAGAGCGTCGGCCTGTGGACTGAAAGGTCCCAGGTTTGATTCCGGTCAAGGGCATATGCCTGGGTTGTGGGCTCGATCCCCAGTGTGGGGCATGCAGGAGGCAGCCAATCAATAATTCTCTCTCATCATTGATGTTTCTCTCTCTCCCTCTCCCTTCCTAAGAGCAATAAAAATATATTAAAAAAACCCCACAAAAAACAAAAAACATAACTTGATCATCTGATCCCTGAAATCACTGCTAAGAAGCTAAACATTTCTCCTCTAGGAACAACCGTTGAAATGTGGCACAGAACACGCTTGTGTCATTGGGACAAACTCCTAATAGGAATAGAGGGGGCCATGTTTTTATTCGTTTTACTTCCATATCAAGATGGGCCTACATTCCCCCATAATAAGCAAGATGAGACAAAAGTCTCATGGTCCCTCAAAGACTGGGGATTCATGGTGTGATGGTTCATTTTATGTGTCAACGTGGCTAGGCCACAGTGCCGAGTTGTTTGATCAAACACCAGTCTAGAGGTGGCTGTGAACCATCTTTTAGATGTGATTAACATTTAAATCAGTAGACTTTAAGAAAGCAGATTACCCTCCATAATATGGGGATGTTTTCTTCAATCAGTTCAGAGTCTCAGGAGAAAATACAGATCCCTCAGGGAAGAAGGAATCCTGCTTCGGACTCAAGACTGCAATACAAACCCTTCCTGGACTCCCAGCCCGAGAACCTGCCCTGCAGGCTTCAGAAGTGTCAGCCCACAGTTGTGTGAGGCAGTTCCTTAAAAGAAATCTCTCTCTCTAAATACGTACAGAAAAAAACATATAGAACAATATACTACAGAGTGTCCCAAAAATGTATACACGCTTTTTTCTGATACTCAATAGTTGTTTCTTTCTTTTCAGATGTAACCCATTGGAAATGCATTTTGGGGACACCCTATATGTGTCTCCTATGCTTCTGTTTCTCTAGAGAACCCTTACTAATACACACGGTAATCATGTAGTCTATTATTTGGGGCAGCCTAATTTCGTTGTTAGGATAAGTAAACAAAGCATTATCATCATTAATACTAGTAACTAAATAAAATGAACTATGAGATGATGTTGACAGTTATTATTGCCAGGAACCAGGTCAAACAGTTTGTGAAAACTGGGTTCCAACCTCTTGCTAAAAGTAGAGTATAATACTGCTGTCATTGAGGACACGCAAGGCCATTTTCGAAGGCAGAACCAACCTACAATAAACATCTCTCTCAGAATCAGAAATCTTCCCATATCCCGACTCCTTAAATAATTCTTAATGCTGTTAAAAACTGATTTGAGATGATTCATAATCCTGGGGACCTTCCACTTTGCAACTCAAATAAAAATTTCAAGCAATGCTAACATATACCATGAATGAAATAAAAACATACCATTGGCAATAATGAGAAATGAAGCTTCTTCCCCCTGCAACCAGTAGAAATCAATTCTAAATCACTGCTCATTGTTCTGTTATAAACACAAGATCATGAGAACCTAACTTCCCAATATGAAGCCGCAAAACAGCGTCAACTCCACTCAGGGGTTAATTCCAAAGGTAATGACTGCATCATCATTACCTAGAAAGAAATCCTCATATTTTATCTGCACTGAAACCACTCATTTGTAACCAGCCCCAGGTAAACAGAGGAAATGCAGTGAGCTCAGTCTAGCCACTATGCTATGAGCTCACCTACTCCTCTCCTAGGGGCAGCTCTGGCCCAGGCTGGGACGGGGTTGGCAAGAGCCCTAACCTGGACCTCCCCAGTTTGTAAGCTCATCGGTGTGGCCACGACAGCTGGCTGGACCCTGGAAATATCACTTGCATGTTCTTCATGCTAATCTGAACCCACCAGCTCCTTCTTCCCCAGCCTCCACAGGTCTGGCGTTTGTGAATCTTAAACATTTCACGGAGCAGGAACATCAATTTGAAAATTAATTTGCACTGTAAATATTTTATGATCGAAAGGCATTCAGTACTCATGCCATAGGAAATAGAAGCCAGTGGCAAAAGTTTTTTTCCAGACCACCAAGCAGAAGTTATGCAGCCAACCACAGCCAGACACCCTCTGTCCCCAAACACTAGGGGGTCCCTGCATTTCTCTGGCCCCTTAACCTGTAGCAGCTGCTGAGGCAAGAGCTGCTTATGATTCATACGCATGGCTTCCAAGAAAAACGCAGACGTAGAGTCAACATTCATTTTCCAAAGTGTAGGAATGGGAGAGGGGGGTCACCATGGTCCATCTCGACAAAATCCCATTAACTCAAGTCCAAGTGGGAACCCTAAAATGAACTACCATTCAATTATACTTGCCCAGGCTTTGAACAGGCCTCCAGAATGCTTGGTTGTGGGGCTCTGTTGTATAATACGTGTATATTATTCCATAGCCTTCATTTCCTGTGCTACATAATGGGGACTGTTCTAGTATCAAAGGAAATGATGAATAATAATACCGAACACCTGGTTTATAAAACACAAGCTTGCTCAACAGATTGACTGCTTCCTGCTAGCTTCCCAAGTTAATCATGCATGTGGCCCATATGAATATGCATTTGGATTCATGTGTGAGGTACAGGCAGTGATGCCAGGTCTCTACTCCTCATGGTTTGCTTCCCATGGATGACACTGCAGACAACTTTGGGTGTGGCCCCAGATAAGATAATGGCACCACAGTTGTGGTCTGTCAATTTTGCCGCCGGCCCAATTATTATTATTCATAGATTCCCTTGAGAAACATTCCCTGAGCATCAGCTATGTGCCAAGTTCCATGCCATGTGCTGGAAGTCAGCTAGGAATGAGATATAGGTCTTATCTTCAAGGAACCCAGGTCTGCCAGGGGAGACGAAGGCTAAGGAGGCAGAGGGCGAGGAGCTGGCTGGGGCGGGCACACGGGCTCTCACTGCTTGAGCAGGGGAGCTAAAGTAAAATTGCCTGGCATTTACTGATACCTATCAGGGATTCAGTGACAGATTCATCCAGTCGTTTTATACTTAAGATTACTTATGAATGAAAGAATATATGAAGACATTTTAAAAAACCGCCCAGCCCTCTTTTTTCCATCTTTTGTAAATATCACCCCCTTCCTTTAGAGAACTCCTCTTCACCCCTTCCACCCACAGTTTCTCTTGGCAGCTAAGTCTCCCATCCTGCTCGTGACTGGGCATCAGACCCAGGCTGAGCCAACCAGAGCACTACACACACACGCAAGCACACACACGTATGCACACATATGCACACACATGCACATCCTCTCTAGGCCACATTGATTGGTTTATTATTAGGCAATGATTCAAGGTGGGCTACCTGGGTGTTTTTTTTTCTTTTTATCCCAACCTGGACTAATGGGAAATCTCTACTCCTCTTTGTGGACAGTTATAAGAATGTAAGACTGTCAGCCATGCCCGACTCCCCTCCCCCAGAGAGCAGCCACTGAGAACACAAAGTCATCCTAGGGAGAAGAGGAGAGATGAGTGGTGTGTGTGTGTGTGTGTGTGTGTGTGTGTGTGTGTGTGTGTGTGTTATGGGGGAAAAGGAAAGGGAGAGAGAATAAGACAGGAGAGAGAGAGAGAGTCCCAGTCCCTGGATGCCCTCCTTCCTAAGGTCTGCTCCCCCCATGCTTTTTGCCATGATGGGGTCATTTGAAGCAGTACGTTTTTTTTGTTTTGTTTTGCCCAAATGAGCATGGACTGGATTTGTGACTCATGACAGAAGAGGCTTGAGTTGTGCAAGTGCCAATATTGGCCATACATGACCCAGATGGCTCTAGCTACCCGGGAGGTGGTCCTTCCCACAAGGCCGAAATGTAAGCACCCAGGGGACCCAGACACTGAATGGCAATAGACAGTCCTATGGAGAAATAATGAATTTCTATGATAGTCTACAAAACTATTGTCATTAGGATTTTGTGTAAAACATCACAATAAACGGAATTGTGCCTGTTTTGAGAAAAGCCTTAGTGAGAGGTCCCAGAACCAACCGGTCTGCTTGGGGTGGCACCAGGACAGAGATGTGAGAACATGCGGGGGAAGGACAGACATCACCGGTGCCCGGCAGGCCCTTTAGATCAGGGCATCTGCTGTGGTGCCTTCCTCACATCTCCACTCAGAGAAAGCTGCCAGGGCCAGTGGCACAGCCCTCGGTTTGTCCTGCAGCTGCAGCCTCCTGAGGGTGAGTGCCAAGCCCCAGAGAAAGGAGGGTGCCAGGCCCTGAGAAGGCATTTGAGCGAGTTAAGAGCTGCCAGGTGGTTTTCAGCAGAGCCTCCTGCCAGGTCTGCTCAGCCCTGAGGCCTGGGCTCAAAGAGAAGGTTGTGCACAAACGGGGAAGCAGTTCAGGAAGGGGCGGGCGCTGAGCCAAGAACAAAGGCCAACTCAGGAACTCTCCTCAAATACCACATTCCTCCTGTGCTTTGCTCCTCT